GTCAGTTTTGGTCCTACTCGTTTGCGCACTGTTATTTCGTACAGACCGCCGTATTCAGAAGGTCATCCAATAACTGTTGGCGTTTTTTTTTTTTCATGAGTTTGCTGAATACCTCGAATCTGTCGTCATGTCCAGCGATAAGTTATTGATAACTGGTGATTTTAATATCCATATGAATGTACCTACCGATCGCAATAACATACATTACAGAGATCTTTTAGAAGCGATGGGTCTTGTCCAACATGTGAAGCAACCTACTCATAGCGGAGCTCGCAGCTCGCGAAGCGTAGCATATTTGTACAAAATAGTAGTAACCCATCAAGCCGAAAAAATTTGGTCGCGCGACCGTACGACCGTACGACCGACCGTAGAAGGTGCTACTTTTAGCATGCATGGCCAACCGTACCACGGGCACTATCTTAACCATTACGTAATGGAAGGGCGGGGGGAGAAGGTAATGTGCAGGCGCGATTGCGCGCGTAACTTGGATACCCCATTAGTGTGTGGAAACACCGGCAGATCGCAATGAAGTGCGCATACTCGAGTATCGAGCTTCAGTGTAGTGTACCGCGGGCATACGGCATTGCACAAGGGCTTCACGTGGGCTAGTAGATGTGAAGCCGCGTAAGCAAATAGTTTCAGTTGCAACCAGCGTTGCGCGAAATCAAACTGGTGAGGTTGAAGTTGAGCGGTAATTCTCATTATTTTACAATCTCTAATCAACAATACCGGCAGAGGTAACACTTTGTCAACGGGAGGAAATCGTTATGATTCAAGTTTGTGGAGAGAGGGTTTTGAGTGAAAATAGGATGAAAAGAAAGAGACTGAGCGACCAAAAAAACAAGAAGTTAAATACATAGAGCGAATTGAGAAAAACGCGCAAGAAAGTTAGAGAGGACACCAAAATATGCAGCATACGGTGAAAGGAACGCTAAAGAGAACAATAAAAGATATCAGTAAAAAGATAAATATGTAGCGAAGAGCAACGCGAGAAGGAAGTATAAAGACGCTCCTGAAACCAGACTGAGAAGAGGTCATCGGCAAAGAGAAGCGAACTACTGAAGGATCCGAGAAAGACGAGGAGGTAAGTCGTGTTTTATCTGGGTTTTCCCACATGCTAAGACCCAGACAAATTCAAACCTTTTTTTTAACAATCGTCGTTTGATACTAGCTTCAGTTTATAATTAAAATCACGTTTCGGTAAAACAATGACTTTGGCCTTCATCGCCTAAAAACCCTCGCGCTGGTTCATCGCTCGAATAACATTTCAAAGTGTTCGTATTTTTCAAGGTATTTCTTTTCCTGTCGTTTGGAATGCTTCATACAATTGTGGTGTTAATGGACAAGAAGTTATCTTACGGATTTTGTTTTGCCGAGAAAGCTTTCAAATGATAGCGAACGGCGAGCGCAAGTTTCGACCTCTTTCTCTCTTCAGTCAACTATCGCAGGATTTACTCTGTTCGTTGAAAAAAATCGCGCTATGTTGAAGAAGTGTTGTTTTAGCCTAAGAACGAACTGGCAGCCTTTTCCAATCTTGAAATAAGATGAGATTGAGTCAGCGATGTCCATGTTTACATTAAGTCTGACGCGGTAAGTTGATTTTGACAATATTTTATAAAATAATTCAAATAGTACGCGCGCTCTGATTGGCCATAAAACCATTTTAAATGAGCCTATTCCCTACACTTATCTCGTGTTCTCCCAACCTCCCGCGTGTTTATATCAGGCTATGCAAACACGGAAACCATTTTACATTTCTTCAGTCATGTGAGAACCCGTCAAGCATCTGAGAAATAAATTACGGACCGCAAACGTGTGGTGCGAACAAACTCACGGGTAAAATGGAATTAGTCCTACTGCTGAATGAGTGAACTTCATTGTTTAGTCATGGTACTTCTCAGCGTTATGTTTTCATGCTTTCTACTCGATTCTTCAGGAAATAATTTCAATTGTCTCACAAAACATGGAGCCACTCTCTCTTCTCTCAACATCTCGAGGTGTACTTACTTCTCGGGTCATGATGAACATGCTTGTGATACGATATTCTTTTCCTAATGCTGGAACCTGAAGAATCAATCTATGAAATCGATAGTCATCGTATTTTGCCAGAAGCTTCTGAGCTGTGATCGTGTAATTAAACGGGGTCTTGGCAATATTTGCTGAGGACACTCGCAATTCTATTTTGTATTTAGATCCCCCTGACGACTGGGAAAAACTATTTAATTGCTACAACACGACGCTGTCATCACTATTAAACAAGCATGCCGCGACTCAGTCACGGAAAATAAGAAATAGGCTCAGGCCACCTCGGTTTGATGATGAAATTATGCAGGCAAGGCGTGACAGACGGAAAGCTGAAAAACTGTGGAGGAGAGCTGGACTGGCCTTGGACCTTCTAACGTTCAAATCCAAGAGAAATTACATAATATATGTTATGAACAATGCGAGAAGAACATATTATAGTCGATTTACTGAAGAAAACAGCTCAAATTAGTCAATACGTTTTCGGGAGAGCGAGCGTCTATTGAATATTCAGCCTGATAAAACTCTCCCGCCTCACAGGAATACTGTTAGGCTCGCCAGCGATAAGGGGGACCACTTTGTTCATAAGATCCCTGCAATAATCCGAGTTTGCGGCCATTACTCAGTCCCCTCCCAATGAATCCCAAGAATCTGATCATACTACCACCTTGAAAATTACTGACCTTTCTTTCTCTGAACTCGCGCTACTCACTGAGGTGGAAGTCAAGAAATTAGCACTAGCCTGTAAGAAATCGTGTGACCTTGATCCACTTCCATCTTCTATACTGTCTATACATCTGGACCGTCTACTCCCTGTACAATAATGTTTAATTCATCACTAAAGACTGTTCGGTTCGCCGATGAGTGGAAAAATGCCCAGGTGCATTTATTGCTTTAGAAACCTGGACTCGAACTGGTAAACAAGAACTTCCACCTAATAAGAAACTAACAGTTTACTTCTAGGCTTACAGAGAGAGCACTTGCTATCCAGTTACAGACCCACATGTTGACCAATGGCTTGTTCCTGGAAAAGCAGAGTGCCTATCGTGGGCATCACTCCTCTTAGATAGTGTTACTGAAAGTCGGGAATGATATTCTTATGAATATGGATATGGGTCATGTGACACTCCAGGTTCTTTTGGACGTCAGCGCCGCCTTTAATACTGTGGACCATGACATTCTTATTTATAGACTTCAGTCACTGCTATGTGGGTCAGCTCTTAAATGGTTTCGATCCCATCTGAGAACAAGTTACAATTAAGGGTGCTCTTTCCAAAAAGTTCGGCCTAGAATGTGGGGTGCCTCAGGGTTCATCCTTTTTACTATCTATGCTAGGAAAATTTTCAGTATTATTAAATCTCACCTGCCGTATGCACACTCGTATGCAGATGATACTCAATTATACTTGTCATTTCGCCCATTAGAGAGTACGCGTGAAGCTGAGGCGTTAATGCAATGGAGAAATATATCGCTGCTGTTCGTTCATGGATGATTAATGATAAGTTGATGCTGAACGATGATGAGACTGAGTTTATGGTGATCGGCACGAGCAATCAGCTATCTAAAGTATCTGTTAGTAGTATTAGGGTCGGGTCGAGGACGTAGATGTAATTCCCGTATATTCGGCAAAAAATCTGGACTCTTGGTTCGACTTGCACATGGATATGGCAACGCATATAACAAAGACCTGTGGTAGTGCATTCTTTTATCTGTATAATATCTGACACATAGGGAAATACCTTACTAGTGAATGTACTGAGAAACTAATTCATGCATTTATAACCAGTAGGTTACACTACTGCAACAGTCTCCTCTATGGAGGTCCCGCCCATCACATGCAAAAACTCCAATATTAACGTGTCATGAATGCCTGTGCGCGATTGATCTTCTGCGCATCTATACACTGTCATATAACAACTTCACTGGTTGCCTATCCGCCTACGTATCGAGTTTAAAATCCTTTTGATCGCCTTTTAAGTACTCCAAGGCTCAGCTTCTAAATATCTCAGCAATGTAATTTCCGTTTTACCGCCATACCGTTATGATTTACGGCGAAATAACGAGGGAATTCCTCTGAGCACCCCAAAGCGTTTCACAAACGTTATCATAAGGGATCGATCCTTCATGGCGGCGGCGCTGGGGCTTTGGAATAGTCTTCCCGTAAGCAGTAGATCTGCTTGCACCAAAAGTGATTTTAAACGGAAACTTAAGACATTCTTATTCAGCATGGCATTTTGTTGGTACAATTAGTCTATATTTAGATTTTTGTATAGTTTTCTCTGCCAACTACTTTTATCATAGCCAATTGTAATAGTGTAGTTTTCGTCCTTGATTTCATAATGATTGCAAACAGGGGTCCTTTTGATGCACGTGACTCTATAACCAGTACCTTTGCAAGATAATTTATGGTGTTTTTCATTTGATTTTGTTTCGATGTATTTTTCAACGAGAAAGTTAATCCCCAGAGTATCGAAGGGCTTGGTTAGTTTCTAACTCGGCTACAGGATTGTCTAGACAGCTTGACTCATTTAGCGTGGAAACGGCATGACCACTGAAGGGGAACCTTTCGCTACCACTAAGACAAAGACGTATATTCCATGCTCTGACAAGAGTATTTGTAGAGTTGGTTTTCAGTGCAAGAAGTGATGCTGATGATTAAACATTTGCACTGAAGAATGCAGGGCTGTGCCAAACTCTCTATCTACAGAATTTTCTCCAATCTTAAACTTTATTCTACAGCCAAATAATTTTACCTGTGAAAAAAACAAAAAAAGAAAACTTAAATGGGTTTTATACTGAAAAAAAGAGGTCCTCTGCCCTGCATTTACGTAATATCAAATGTTTATTAACATCTTCTAAAGAACTTCGACTTTCCGTTATTGGAAAGAGGTAACGTCAGTCAGATATTTTTATCCTAGACGGACAGTTTTTCGTTGTTATACTACATGGTAATATTTCACCATTCTGGTGACCTGGGATAGAGAAGAATGATTAGAAAGCTAAAATTGTAAATGAATCCCATTTTAACGGTATCAAGAGTAAGAGTAGAGCTAGAAAACAACCCGTCTACTTTTCTCAAGGAAAATTCTTTTCACCAAAAGCAAAAATTTACTCCAAAAGTAAAAATAGAGTATAAGCGGGTAGTATCAGAGTTCTCATGGTAGGTATTTTTGTATCTTAGTGCCGGCCATCAGTTTATAACACAAGAGAATGATGTTGTACACATAACTTTTCCTCTTTCAGATTGATTAATTTTGACTAGATTGTTGAATCTTTGCTGGGTCCCAAACAGGCACCAATAATTGAACCAGTTCGCTTGCGTCTTGGATCCACAACACTGTCCGAGGCCTGATGGCTGCCAGTAAACGAGCTTCCGTCTCTTAGCTGAGATCCTGCAGTAGTAGACGAATTGGATTGGTGACGACTTTTGCGTACAAGCTTGCAAAGTTTACGAAAGGCTCTTCTATAACTGCGATCAAGGAAAGTGTAGATAATTGGATTCAGACATGAGCTTGTGTACTCCATCCACTTGATAACGTTAAACAGTGAGCTTGGTACTGGACATGACTGATCGTAAGCAAAGCAAAGAATGATGGCGAAAAATGGTCCCCAACAAATGACAAACAAACCAATCAAAAGAGCGATTGTCTTGGCAGCTTTCACATCCTTCGCATAGCTCCTGCCTCTTCTTAAAAGGTGCGCTTGTTTTCTCGCAACAAAGTAAATCTTTACATACATGACGATCATTATAAACAAGGGCAAGAAGAAGCTAGAAAGGGCGATGAAAAGCATATAGCTTGACTTCGTGGGCCAACTCGCTAACCGCAGTCCTGAGACTAGTAAGGAGTATAGCCAAACAAAAACAATCATGCCAATTGCTCGCACGGAAGTCATAACATTTTGGTAGGAAAAGGGATCTGTAATAGCTGCATGTCGGTCGATTGAAACAGCAGCAAGGTTCATAATTGAAGCGCTTCCGCACAAAATATCCATACAGTTCCAAAAAATTCTCAACTCCTGACTAAACAACCATTGATTTGAAGTGACCTGCAAAGCACACCAGAAAGGCATAGCTACCAAAGCAACCAAGATGTCCGCTGCACTAAGACTTATGACGAAATAATGGCACACAGTTCTGAGTTCCTTAAATAAGTAAAAGTTTATGCATACGAGAGAATTCCCAATTAACGTGGAGATTATCAGAAGACTTCCCAAAATAGCAGCCAAAATATTTCCATAACTGGGCTGCACGGCTGCATGTGATTGGTTGCTGGGGTAAACAGACTCGTTCATTTCCCACCTCTGATTATTACACCTGCAAAATAGACCATTTTTTGCATAATGTTGTTTCCTGCGATGAAAACGATACCAATTACTGCATGAAATGCCTAAACGATTCAGCGATCGTGCATTACAGAAAGACCCCTCGCAAGCTATACGGAAACGTAGCCGGTTTAAACGATATGAATTCCCATTTATCAGTTTGTTCACCTCACACACAACGGAATGTACATAACCTTGGCCGTACACTGCTGACTCGTTTCTTTTGAATAAAGTGACGCCAACTTGTGTATTTTGTTAACTCGTTGTTACTTTTCTACTAAACACTGCTGTATCTGACACAGGTGCGACAAGGTGCGTGTCAGGATGAACTTTCCGCCATCTTTAGCTTGGAAAGGAGAATATATTGGCAACAACGGCAAACCTCAGTAAGAAAGAAATTATAACTCACCTCTCAAATGATGAGTTTCCGCAAATTGAATGAAACGAAAATCGTTAGGGCTGTTAACATACTAACCATAACATGTTTTGGAAATTATACGGGTCCCATCATTTTGGTGTCTTCCAAATGCGGCAAACTGTGTTGTCTGAGTCAGAAATGTTTAATATTTGAGGATAAAACCATGCTTCGGTGCAATGGACGACTTGGTTCAATATTTTAAAATAACTAATTATTGGCGTATACTGCTGTTGGCGGTGGGAAGTTAATTTGTATTTCGACACATCAAATTTAATAATGATTGGTGAACTGCAGCTTAAGACGACTTAACGGCCTTATGAATATTTAACACTAGGTTGCCTTTTTTTGAAAAACAATGATTGCCTGAATGACAGTGGAAGAGTTCTTAAATCTAAAAAGTTTATCTGCATATGGAAACACCTGTTCACCTTTTCACGTTGTAATCATTGCTTTCAAGGTTGAATTTTGCAAAGATTGTAAAACCTGATTTTGTATGAGTTAAAAACATGCTGTCAAAACACTTTCAGTTGGCATAGAAACCGTCCTTCTATTCGATATAACGACATCATGTGCAATCATTTACCTAGCAAAACTGAATATTACCTCATAGACAAGGAATTTAAGTTAGCTGCTCGGTACAGACTTATTTCTTTAGCAGATGGATGTCGCTTCCGCCACAACAAAATTTATTTAATTGTGATATTTGACAATCTGCTTGCACTAAAAGAAGAAGTTATTGACCTAAACATCTAGTTGGATGTATGCTCTTTGAACAAATTAAAACTTTGCAATTTCGATAATATACAAGTTCATAAAACTACTAAAAGCTCTTACTATACTCTCAGAATTAATTTTCAGAGCGTCGCAATAACTGTGGGCTAATTGACTAGAGCGCGTGGTGAAGGAAAGCCTTTGTTAAGGTTCAGTTATTCCGCCCGAAAAATAAGCCGTCCACTGAGATCGGTAAATATTAATTTTTGTCAATTTTTCCTTTTTTCCCACGTGACTTGTCCAAGTTAGTATATCTCTCTCTGACACTTGACAATTATTCAACGAGGGTTATTGAAATATTTGCCAACAAAAATTTCATAATATTTTTGAGCACGAGGATAAAAATTAGGAAAAAAGCCACTCACCCACTCATGGCAGAGACTTTTAGAGATTTTTAGAGATTTATTAAATCGAATTTTGCTCATCTCAGTCTTCCTCTCATTCAGTTTCTCTACTTCTAATGTATAAAGCTTTAGCCTCTTCATCATCATCTGCATCATTGCTTTAATTAGTATCATCATTTTCATTAATATCATAACCATATTACTGTTAATATTATTTTCATCATAAGTATTTGGATTTTATTTGCAGTAGAAGCGATGATTATGATAATTCTCTTTGTCCATCCTTTTCATTGGCTGAACGTCGACCACGTGACCTTCAAATAACTTTCTACAAGAAATGGTTTCTTTAGACGTTAAGCAGTCTAAATGTGTTTTGCTCCAAATGTTCTGCTCATGCGTAATTATTTTCACGCTCATTTATTGGCAGTGACGGATCACTTCCTCACAAACTGACAGAGTGACCGCCGTATATAAGTTGGCGACATGAACTCGGCAATCAAACAATCAAATAATTATGGAACTCAGCTATTGCAAAATACATGTATGGTCAGTGATTGATCAATACATCGAACACCAACTATTTTTCTACACCTCAGCAAACAAGGAGGATCTGCTCGCTTCTAGCAAACCACAATATTTTACTCAATCTCCAAAGTAAATCAATCATAAAACTTGCTTTAATATGCTGTTACTTATTTTTGCTTTGAGTTTCAATTAGCGCTATCTAAAACACCGTACTGGTCACGAGTTATTATTGCAGGAAAGATGTTATGAAGCATTTGGTTAGTTTATATTTAGTTCGTCAGTTAGTTAGCCAGTTCAGTATGATTTCTATTTTAGTTTATATTAAGAAAGTATTTAATGTGTGATTTCGAATTCCGAACGTGACGAGTTTTCGAATTGTGACAGCCTTTTCTAACTTCCCTAAGAGGACGTGCTTAGTTTGTTTACTGACTTTGTTTTGGACCCAAACAAAAGTTCTTGTTTTTATTAATGCGGTCAGAAGTTGACTCAGTTGATCGGAAGCATCGTGATTAAGTACTTTGTTGTTCGGATTGAAAGTTTCGTGAATTTGCTTGAGAGGAGAGAGGAGAGAGGAGAGAGGAGAGAGGAGAGAGGAGAGAGGAGAGAGGAGAGAGGAGAGAGGAGAGAGGAGAGAGGAGAGAGGAGAGAGGAGAGAGGAGAGAGGAGAGAGGAGAGAGGAGAGAGGAGAGAGGAGAGAGGAGAGAAGCGAGAGAGAGGAGAGAGGAGAGAGAGAGGAGAGAGAGAGAGAGGAGAGAGAGAGAGAGAGAGAGAGAGAGAGAGAGAGAGAGAGAGAGAGAGGAGACAGAGAGAGAGAGAGAGAGAGAGGAGAGAGAGAGAGAGAGAGAGAGAGAGAGAGAGAGAGAGAGAGAGAGAGAGAGAGAGAGAGAGAGAGAGAGGAGAGAGAGAGAGGAGAGAGGAGAGAGGAGAGAGAGAGAGAGAGAGAGAGAGAGAGAGAGAGAGAGGAGAGAGGAGAGAGGAGAGAGGAGAGAGGAGAGAGGAAAGAGAAGCGAGGAGAGAGGAGAGAGGAGAGAGAAGCGAGAAGAGAGAGAAGACTAGAAGAATGTAGACAGTGTGCAGAAGAGTACAGCCAGAATTCCGCAGGTGAAGAAGAATTATTCAGTTAGAATCAAAGTGAGAGCCTAAGAGATTAACCAGAGTTACACAGCATTAAATAAGCATGGATGTAAGTGAACTTGTGTACTGGAGAACCGGTAAAGAAAGCAGAAAAAGACAGTTTGAGAGTCTTGGTGCCGAGCGTGACGTGCTCGATAGCTTGTTTCCCCCGACATTTAATAGTGTAACATACTTGGTGGAGGACTTAGTCGTAACAAAGATCTCAAAATTTCGAGGCGCAAGAAAGATAGCTTGATTTTCCGCTTTTTTGCACGAAAAATGAGTCATTATCAAAGTTGTGTAAGATATAATAAAAACTTGGACTTGGACTAATTTTTGTTAGGAAGAACACTGATCGATAAAGCATTTACCAAGTATAATGGCACACGTATATTTCTTTTATGAATCTCTAAGTAATGTTACGGACGATTCCGACCACTTACCGATGAAGCTAAAATCGATCACCACCGTGATCTCTCTCTTGATGCTTAATATTGAGATTCTAATACCTTCTTTTCAAGTGATTTGACCGTCGTAAAAGGTGTTGGTTCTCTTTAACTAAGTTTCCAGTTATTCTCTTGTTGTGATCGACTTCAATTCAAATTTGCCTTATGGAGCATAGTAAGGGAAATGTTTCCTTCCCTTTCAACAGCCTCTAATGGCAATTGTACTGAAACTAATTGTGTTTTATCAAAGGTGTGAACAGTTCTCAAATAAACCAATCAGAGCATTCACTGGTCTGTTAACAATATTACAAGTGGGCCGGGAGACCCAAACTGCAAAATAACACGCTTTAAGAGGATTCTTAAAGAGCTTTACTGTGAAAAATAAGAACATTAGAGTTTTTTGCTGTATAAACCCTACGGGCTAGTTTGAAGCACTGAATTTAAACTACGCAAACATTTTTATACTGTTGTGTTTAATAGATAAAATCTAGTAGATAAATCAGTTAGTACATAGCTTCCTCGAAAGTGACTTTGGCAGAGTTTATTATGTCGTGAGTTGGCTCGATCACCAGTGTGATCAACGAACGTTACCGTCCAAAAATGGTTCACAAAACATAGTTGTCGGGGGCGAGGGGTTATTTAATGGGTTTTCCTCCGGACATGCAAGTTAATTGACTTGAAAAGCTAAGTAGTTAAAAGCTCTGAAACGGAAATTAATTGAAAATCCGTAAAAATTGTAAAAGTGGGGGTTGAAAAGACAAACATCGAGGCTTACTTTTAAGGAGCTTGTTTCCACCTACTACTCAAAGCATTTCATGACGCCTTCATGAAAAGAAGGAAAAGCTCTTTCGTTTTTGTTGTAATTTTGAAGTGTTTATATATATGAAAGAAATTAGAAGATCAACACGCCATACCCTTGTAAACAGCTCTAACTTTAACAGTCATTGAACTTTGTCAGTTACATACATGATGAAATATAGACTAGACCATTGAACTCTTGGACTATCGGGCCATTTTTTGGACAGTTTTTTTTACCATTTTTTCAATTTTTTTAATTATTTTTTTTAACGACCTTTTTTCACTATTTTTTTTATCGGGGATGGGTGGATAGGTATATTTTTGTTCTTTAAGTGGTGGGTAGTCACTTGTGACGGAAATTTCATGGATCTCACAAATTATATAGAGCGGTTTTTTCCACTGATTTTTGTTTCATTTGGTTAAGCAAAATTTCGGGGGAGGGCTGAGCAAGTCATATTTCTTCATTTTGTTGTTATGAAAATGGCTTACTGCATTTTGCGAAACGAAACAAAGCTCAGTGGAAATCTGTAAAGTAGGAAGGATAGGGTGCCAAATAATTTGTATGATCCAGTAAAATTTCCGAAAAACCAAAAGCATTAATTGTCGCAAGTGCCTCCCCCCTTGAGTGTAAATGTAGAGATACTTTAATTTCTACTACTAGACTTCTACTTTTTATGGTGCACAAAGCCGATACTAATGGGTGTGGCGCGGGCTTAGTAGTGCGTCAGACTTTTTTTAAAAATATATTTTCCAAGTGATTATCCAAAACTCATGTTCACTTTGTTGAGAATGACATGAACAAGTAGAGCAGTGATAGCTGTGTTTTGAGGAACCACACTTGCTAGCGTGTCATTGGGATCTTTAAGCGGAACTGCCATGGCAATGAGGAGACAATACCGAGAAAACTTTTTTCTTCTCTATTGCACCAGTACCTTCAAGGGCCGTGCTGCTTAAACTTCCCACAAGACCACCACCAATACGAGAAATAAAATGTAGATAAG